ACCTTCAGGCTATCTGTACAAGATATATGGGAAACATAAATGAAATTCATGCTCAGACTTAGATCTCACTGCCAAAATGTCTTTTTATGTATATATAGTCACAAGTCCAGGAAAATGCTAAGTCTGAAATACTCTGGTCCCACACATTATATGTAAGAAAATACTCTACCTGTGCAAAGTACAAAAACCAAGCCCTTGAGACTATGAGGCGTAAGGAAGAGAGGAAGATTGGGTCGTTAGTCTTTGCCTCCGTGGCACCCAGTAAATGGTCATACCAAGTCATTTCCAGAGTGTGTGTGTTCCCACACATGAGTGTCCTCCATCCCACATGAACCTTACACCAAAAAGATCAGTGCTAATTACAGTCTTGGCACCACAGACACGGATGGAAAGACGAAACTTCCAAGTTAGCCAGAGCTACACAGGAAAACCCTGTCTCAAAAAAGAACAAAGCAAAACAACAACAAAAATCATAAATCCACCAACACAACACCCATTCTCTTAAGGGTTTCAGTTGTCCTACCATGATCAGACACTGAGGTTTTGCCCATAGAGTTGGCATTAATGCCAAGATAGTTTTAAAATACAATGAGGAACTCACTCTCTGTTCTTTTACAAAGTGGTTCCAAAACTAAGCCTTTTGTCTGTTCATTTAATATTTTTCTGTTATCATCCATTCTGAACAAAAGAGCCTTTCTTGTACTATGTAAAACTCTGCTTCTAATTATGAAGCCTTAGAGTGTGTGTCTATGGCTCTGATGTCATACAAAATATTGACACCAAAATGTAATTGGATTAGGGATCAGAGTGGATATGACAAGTGCACTCTGAGTAGATGCCATTCCTGCCTCAGCACATTTTCTGACCACTACCAGACCATTCCTCTCTCTTGGGATGTGCACAGATAATTTGACCTAGGAAACTATGGAGTAGACCACGTTAAGTCCCCCACCCTTTCCTTAAGCCCACAGAGCCTTAACATTGCATCATCGGAGGTCTTAGCCTGGCGTGGCCATATCACCCGACAAGAAAGGTATTGACTTAATATTCAGATGCAGCCCAAGAAGTGTTTCTAATATTTTCTTTCAGCCCTCCAGGAAAAGAGCTTATTTGCCAAGCCTTGAGACTGGTTAGTTTGCGTAAGCTCTCAAGTCCCGTAACCCCTGATTAATAAAGGTTTTGCAGCCTAAGAAGTTGTCTCATCCTTATCATTGAGTCCTGACTCTTCTTAGCTCTCAAATCTCCTGAATGATTGAGTAGATCAGATGGTGAAAGTCGGTGTTAGGGTCCCATGTGCAGGAAAAGACATCTTCTGTGTTACCCAAACATAAGATAAGCTGGGTCTCCATCCTCACCACATGGTGTCCACTTGACTCCTAGAGAGATGACTGACTCCACACTGGTGCAGAATCTTCCAGAGTTTTCTAAAGACCCAGTTTTCTAGGACTTGATATTCAAATATGGTCTTTTTGAGGAAAAAAAATGAAAGACAAACCTTCAGAATAGTAAAGGCTGTATACTGAGACTGGCTGAACTACAGAACAAGTTCCATGTCACGGTCAAATAAAATCCATGTTGTATATAATCACATCGCTGACAGATGAGGTCACACTGAGGACTTCACAGTGGAATTGAGAAGAATCGTGAAAATGAAGCCTGGGTATCCCTGCAGCCGCAGTCTGTGTTTTGGATGCTACAGATTTGGGGCTGAGCTTTGGTGTCTATGGATTTGAAGAAAATTGAAAGATTCAGAATGCCCACACCCATTCACCTCTGACCCAGAAGCTGCTCTCTATAAACTCACCTTTCACCTGAGGGTGTCCTTATGCCCTGCTCCACCTTCCTGTCTGCAGCACTGGAAACCTCATCTCCTCCCAGATTCTCACAGTGGTTTGGAGTTAGTGATAGTCCTCATTTCTTTTAAACATTTTTTACTTGGTTTTATTTGCTTTTCTTCTTAGTTGGTGTTGTGTGTGTGTGTGTTTAGTCTTTTCAAAATAAAGAGCATTTGTTTTAATTGCTTCTTCTTTAAAATATTTAAATATTTTCTTGAGAATATCAATAATGACTTCCATTAAAGATCTGTTGTGAATACAGTAACTTCTTAAGCATCATTTCCTGTATGCTTATTTTACGATTAGCTTGTTGGGCCACCCAAAGCGCATGCTGTAAGATACAGAAATCTTAGGTGTAGAGGTTACACTCTCCACACACGGGAACATGCTGCTTGTTGGGGTGAATTCTTTCAGAAAGCCTATGCCCAAATCTCCTGAGACACCTTTCCAGCCTCACACTGGTCCTTAATCCCTGAAGGTGCACGTGTCTGCAGGGTTCATCCCTGAAAAGTGACCTAGGCAAGTCATTTAACATCAATAAGTAAATCACGGGATGTGAAAGGATATTTTATTCCAAATAAAAGGATGGAGGGATGCAGAATTAACTTGCTGTCCGGATGAAAGCAGTACTGCATGCATATTCACTTGAATACAGCATTGCAGCCTGTGACAACCTCATGGCCCTACCTAAGGGCCTCCGTCGACACCCAAAAACAATCTCACTCTGCCCTAGGGCATCTGTTTTCTCAAAGCAAATCTTGACCCCTAAAAATACATATTTACCAGTCCAGGGTTGCACTTACCTTTTCATTTCTCTGCTTTGGACACAAGTAACCCTATATACCTATTATATAGGTATATAATATACATCTGCCATCCCTCTCATCCTTTCCAGAGGAAGTGCAGGTGTCCATAATGCCTCCAGACCTGGCCGGCCACATTATACTTATATACTTGGATAGGGAACTAGAATCCTCAGTTCTGACGTAACCCTAACCTCAAGACTTTTTAAGTTCAAATGCTTTCCTAATTCAGTTATCACATAATAGATTTCCTCTTGTGTCATTCGTTCTCTGGTTAAGAATGCCTCCTATTACACATGTCTCACACCAAATAATATGTAGATTCACGAGAAGCAGTAACATCACAGGAACCACAGGAGATCAAAGACAATGGGGTTACTTTGAGTGTGGTCCTTTCCAAACACCTCCCACTGGGAGACTCCCTTTCCCATGAGATACTCTGGCGTCTGTCTTCCCAGAACACCACTGCTCTTGGCCTCTGCCCAGCAGCCAAACACTGCGACTCCTCCAGAGACTGCCTCTCTTCTCTGCAGTCTCTTGGGCATTTCAGACTGAGAGGAGTCAGGAGCCTGGAGAGCGAAGTGTTTGTGTCTTCTCGTCTCCAGAGGAGACCTAAACATTCGACTAATGATGCAGTATACATCTAAAAAAAAAAAATCAAATGGTCCAAGTTTCATTTTTTCTCTTAGTACATTTTTTTCATTCATGTATTTGTTTACTTATCTATTTATTTATTGTGCATATGTATGTGGGGATGCCCATACCACGGTATACATAGGAAGGTCAGATAGCAGCTCGAACTAGTCATTCCTCTTCTTCTGTCATGTAGCTCCTGGGAACTGAACTCAGGTTGTCAGGCGCAGCAGCAAGTGCCTGTACCCACTGATCCATTGTACCAGCCCTGGTGTTATACTAGCCCTGGTTACTTTTTTAATTCTTCAATACTCCAGAACCTCTAAGTCAGTGGTTCTCAACCTTCCTAATGCTGCAATCCTTTATACAGTTCCCCATGTTGTGATGACCCCCAAACACAACGTCATTTTTATTGCTACTTCATAATTATAATTTTGTTACTTTTATGAAACATAGTATAAATAGCTCATATTTCCAATGGCCTTAGGTGACCCCTGTGAATGGGTCATTGAACCCCATAGAGGATGTGACCGAGAGATTGAGAAACACTGCTCTAGTAGGTGTTTTCTTAAGATTTCCACATTTGGTTTCTCAGTCCTCTGAAGGACCTGCTGTCATTATACCCACATTTCATCTCTGAACTTGAGATACAGAAAGATGTGCAAAGCTTCTAAGACCAAGGATGAAGTTGCAGATTCTAAATCAGAACATGCTTCACTGGTCTCATACGCTTTGCACATCTGTGTGATGCCATGAGCGTGAGGGCCAAGAACTAAGCTTGGAGACCCCGATTCCATTGTTTATGAATTACCTGAAGTGGGCTTGCTACCTCAGGTTATACCTGCGTTTCATATTTCATAGATTACCCATCCCACTAACATAGTTTTATTGTTACAGTCTCCACTAACAGTACAAAGAGATTTCAGTTTGTTCGCACTTTCACCCAAAGTTGGTTTTTACATGGCAGGGGGTGGGCTAGTTTGAGTTTCTGTGCTTACGCCTAGGGTCAAATGGATTATCTCACTGTAGTTTTATTTTTAATCTCTGTAATTATTAGTGACAAAGAGCATCTTTGCATATGTTAGCTGGTCACTTGTACATGTCCTTTACAGTCTCATCTAACAGTTTTACATTTGAAAGTCCAGTAGTGATAAAACCATGAGCAATGTCAGATGTGTTAACCAAATATACCTCTAAGTTCAGGTCTGAGCTCCCTAGTAATTATTTTTCCATCCTTACGTCAGTACTATACTGATTATATTTCCAATAGACTTAAAACTAATCGGAAGAAGTGGAAGACAGTTCATTCTAATCAAGGGAACAGTTAGCCAACCTGCTACTGCAGTTTTTCCTAGCACTTTGATTTTTAGTATCAGATAATTAGTCTTATTAAGATTTTCAATTTCATTAAGAATCAAATATATGTGTCTCTGTCCTATTAAATTGTGTGGCTATCAGAAGGGAATTTCCTCCCAGATTCGGGATTTTTTTTTTTATTACTGTGTTTCTTTTTCCAGCTCATTCATTAGAAAGGGGCCAACACCATTGACCTTAAGTTTACATAAGATAAACTAAAATCTATTTTAGGTGAAGGAGGTTTGTGCTCCAAGAATAAACACAGGCATCAAATAAAATGGATTCACTGGTGAGCCAGAGAGGAATAGCTAGTTTGTAGCACAACATCACACAGGGGACAGAACAAGAAAGTTGTAGCAAGGGGAAAGGGGACAAACTAACTTTCATCAACAGAGGGAATGATTTTAGATAGGAATAGAGATTTAAAATAAAATAAAGAAACAAAATAACAAACTCATGCTCTGCCCAAATTTCAATATAGTAGCATGCTAAATAAAGACACCAGGAAATATAATCACTTCTGTCAAACTCTAGTGAGAAGTTGAAGTGTTATTCAAGGAGGCTCTGCATCTGTAAACCAGTCCATGTCCATAAATCTCAGAGTTTTCACAGCCGTTGGCTGGAACTTAAGGTTTGGGAAGCTTTGTGCTCATGAACCGTGAGTGGCCTGGTGAGAGAAGCCCTGTATCAGCAGACTCCATATCCGCTCCCGGATCTGCTTGGTCCTGATACCATAAATGACAGGGTTCAGGGTGGGCGGAATGATCAGGTACAAGTCAGCCAGCAACACTTGGGTGTGCAGCGGAACTTTGTCCTGCCCTAGCCAGGCTACATAGATGGACGCCATCCCAGGGAGATAGTACAGAGCCATAACCGCAACATGAGAGCCGCATGTACTCAGCGCCTTCCGCTGGGCATGCTTTGATGACAAACCAAACACTGCCCTGAGGATCAAAGTATAGGAGGCAGAAATGAAGGCCACATCTGAGCCCACAATGATGGAGGAAAAAACCAAACTGTAGAGACTGGTGGGCATGGGGTCAGCACATGCTAACTTGGCCACAGCCATGTGTTCACAGTAGGAATGTGGAACTACATTGGAGCCACAGAAAGGCAAATGACTCAACATCCAACTCAATGGAGTCATAAACATCACAGCTCTAGTGGTGATGGTCACACTAATCCCCAGCATCACGTTAGGAGTGAGGATTCTCATATAATGTAGGGGCTTGCAGATGGCCACATAGCGATCAAAAGCCATGGCCAGTAGCAGCTCTGTCTCCACCGCTGTGGCTGCGTGGACAAAGTACATCTGAGTGAAACAGGCATTAAAGCTGATGGAGCTGCCTCCTAAGCTGAAGATGCTCAGCATCTTAGGTACCACAGAGGAAGCCATAACAATGTCCACAGCAGCCAGAACACAGAGAAAGAAGCACATGGGCTCTTGAAGAGTGGAGTCCATGCAGATCACAGTGATAATGAGGGTGTTTCCTAGGAGGGCTATGCTGTACATGGAGCTCAATGAGATGGCCAGCCAAAGATAGGAAGACTGCAAGCCTGGAATGCCAACGAGGAAGAAGGTGGCAGGGGACTCCATTGAGTGATTGTAGGATGTAGCCAGCATCACTGGTCAGACTGCTTTCCTGTTCATTTATAAGGTACTATGAGAGAGGTAATTTTCTTACAAAGTTGATTCTTCTGTGTGATGGTCACAAATTGTTGGGGTATTTTCTTCTTGGTGGTATTTGCATGACCTAAAATAATTAACATATTTTAAAAGTAACCTTTCATCCTATAAAAATTTTGCACCTAGCCAATTTCTATTCACATCTCAAGGATCAATTCTTAGTTTTTCTACAGGCAGTGTTCTCTCTTTCTCGGTCTCAGTCTCTCTCTCTCTCTCTCTCTCTCTCTCTCTCTCTCTCTCTCTCTCTCTCTCTCTCTCTCTNCTCTCTCTCTCTCTCTCTCTCTCTCTCTCTCTCTCTCTCACGCTCTCTCTCTCTCTCCATACCTATTTCCATGTAGATATTGCATGTTTATTTTTATTTCAGGAGCTCATGAAATCTTTCATGTTGATCCTTAATGATTTCAAATTGATGATTCAAATGGTCTGTCTATGGATGATGATATACAGTCAAGTATGTATCATTTATTTGTAACTTTGTGTAACCCTAGCCTATGGAACAAAATTAGGAGATACATTTCATATATTCCTTATAGACAGCTACTTCAACATGAAGAATAATCACAGAATTTGCCTTTTTTCTCATGACTGCTAAATTATACAAACTTATTGAGATCAAACATCGTATCATAGCTGCTTAAGATCGTACCTAGAGAAATGAAAAAACGTTCTTGTCGGTCAGAAATGCATTATATAGAAAGTGTAGGTTCAGGAAATAAGGCCTTTAGAAAATGACATAATCGCTTTCCATATAAACAAATGGTTTTTAAATACTTTTAATTTCTCACTTTGGCGCTCAATTTCCTTGTAGTTTTAATTACTACACTAAATACTTGCACATTAACCCTTCAGATGCACATCAAGATGAACCTTCCCGTAGCTTTTCTGCGTCTTCAATATGGTTTACCCCTTCTCATGATATCTACCAAGGTACTCCAGAGACCAAGGAAACTTTATCTTTGTGAAAGTGAAGCATGTTTTAAACAAAACATATGGTCATATAAGAGAAGAAACATTATTTATAACAAGAGGATTTCTACATTGATAATCCACAGCAGGGATTCATGTAAAACAATTGACTTAAGTGAGAGAATACTTCATCCAACATCGTGCAACGCCATGTAGTCAGTTTTGGGTTCCCAACTAGATCTTCCCAGCACTGACTCCTAGCAGTAGATTTAACACAGCACTGAAGTCAAGAGAACAGCTATGGACACTCACCCTAGAGAGTCTTACAGATTTGCCTTGACAGTTCTCCTCTGCCAGTCTGGGAGCCGCGTGTCAACCTTGGCAGGGCTTGCTTTGCCCTCGTTCAGGTATTTCAAGGTCACTGGGTGTGCAGTGACTTTCCCAGTGTCCTGTGCTGTGAGCCTTTGCTTCCCTGCCCTTTAATTTCTCATTTCCTGTGGTTTTACATGGTACTTGAATGTGTGTACAGCCCCAGAATACTCTGAGAACACATCACACAAGCCCCCTTTGATTTGGTGATTTCTCTCAGACCTGGAAATGCTGATGGATCTTTCAGAAGCACAAACTAAAATCCTTTCTGTTGTCTCATGCAAAATGTGTCGTTAGAGTTATGTCATTTAGAGACAGAAAAACAGTGGCGAACAGCAGTGGCTCTAAAATCATGTTGCACAGAATAAAAACCCCAGTTTGTCGCTTGCTAGCCCTTTTTCCTTGATCACATCCTGTACCCCTTCCAACCCTAACTTCCACACTGGTAGGAAAGAAAATTGCCGCCCCTGTATCAAAGAGCTATTTTGAACTTAAATTAAAAGCTAAACAAAGAGCTTACTATGCTGATTCTACAATATGTTCTGTAAAGTATAGAAAGTAAAAGTCGGCTTTGTTTATCCTGCCTAATCCAGTGTGTCCAGATTACTCTAGCTAGCATACTTAAATGAGTATAATTGAATTAAAGGCAAAATAACAACCAAAACCCAATCAGCAAAACAAGTATTTCTGAGGCTTCCTCCTTGCCCTTCACTGACCGTACTGCACAGGCCTCTATAACGGAAGATGTTTGGTGTACAACAGGGTGCTTGGTACTCGGTGTGCTCAATAAAGTAACTAATTTTGAAAAGACTGTTTTCATGGGTTAATCCAAGAAGTTGCTCTAAATCACATACTCAAATGGGTAAGTATAACTTGGAGACCAAATTTTTTAAAAAGCACACAATGCCTGACACGTTCCTCCTATCACCCGTACACACTCCCATCTGCCAGTACAAGATATCCCCCCAGAGATGCACAGTGAGCAGTGAGCTTCTAATGACCTGAAATTTGCTCTGTTTTTTTTTCCCTCAGGGGTGGGGTCTGTTTAATCATTTAATCATGGCAAGAGTACTTGTCCAACTACTAACAACTCTTTTCTGATAACAAAGTGTAAGAACTGTTATTGGGGGCTGCTGCTGTCTAAAAGTCCTTCCGGGATGAAAGGATGTTTGGAGTGGGTGTGATGAGACTCTGCACAGCAGGCAGATTGGGGCTTCCACAGTTTATCCTGTTGCTCTCAAGAGCACTCCGCACCCAGGGGAAATGGACAGGCAGCTTAGGCTCAACCTAGTAGGTTACCACATCAATTGCCTGTGCTCACTTAACAATAGACAAATACGCCCAAGGAGCTAATTCCTTACGTTTCCAACAATCTTCAAATGAAGAGTTATTTGACAAGCTTTGAGAGCAGGCTGACTAGCCACTAAATCCTGTGACCTCTAGTCAGTAATGGGCTTCCAGGCTAAGCTGACAAGTTCTTACCCTTGGATAATGTCTTGACTATCCATGCCCTCCTCAGCTTCTCTTCTGTGTGTCTGTGTGTCAATTACCTCCCTGGGTAACTGTATAGCTGAGACCTATGGGCATCTCTCCGAATCCCATTGCTACATTAGACATCTTCTCTGTTATCTAACGACTAGGAGAGCACTCACCCGTTCTCATGCCAACTGTAGGACATACACCTGCCATTCCACTGTCAGTCCCGGACAGCCAAGCACTAATTGACATGACATCCAGGTGTCTGCAGCCACCTTGAGCAGAGTTTTCAGGAATTATCTGCAAAACCAAATGTGTGAAATCTCAGTTCAAATTACAAAACTTTGAAACAAACAAATCACAAAGGGGAAAAGGCTGTCTAATGACAGGGACTGAGGTCATGATAAGCTCCACATGATGGAGCACAGGAACCTGGCTGTGTGTGACAACCTCAGTAAAGAACAGGTGAGGGCAGGTGGACACAGAAAGCAGAACGGCTTGAAAAGTGAAAACAGCTCAGGATACGCTAGCTGCTGTATCTGCCCTGAGTGCCACAGAGTCAGGGCTCAGCGTCACTGCCTAGAAATTTGAGGAAAAGCCCAAAGATCCAGAATTCCCACTTCCTCTCATGGCTGCCTGACAGAAACCCGCCTTTAGCAGAGGGCTTATGTACTTATGCCCTACCGTTCTCTCTCCAGCCCTGACAACCTCACCTCATCACACTATGACCTTCTAAAGTTACTTACTTTCCTATTAGTCAGGACTCACAGAGGGTTGCATGTTTTACAAACATTTGTTTTGGTCATTTTTTTTTCAAAATTTTAATCTCATTTATGAAGGTTTTTTTTCTCGTGAAGATCAACAATAGGCTCCATCGGAGATCGGTTGCCACCCTTGTGGCTCCTTTTGGCATCAGTAACTCCTTGAGTTTTAGATTTTAAATTTCACCGAGGGTGAAAGTAAACTGCGATTCTCATCTGAATGTAGCTGAGCTGCCAGCGTTAACCGTGTGCCTGCCGCATGGCCGCTCCCCAGCACCAGACGCGCTGTCTCTAGGCCTAGATGGCATAGACTTTTCACATAGTTCCTCTTTGTCCTGAAACTATCCCTCCATTTCCCCAGAGCTGGACCTCTCCCTTCTTTCTGCTAAATACAAGTAGGTTTCCATTCCTGTTCATGCTCCCTTTTCCTCCACTCTCCCTTGCTGCAGAAGCCCTTGGTGTTAGAGGCAGCTTGCAAACCTGGCCAACCTCTACACTTTGGCAGAGGACTTGGTTCCTCCTTTCTAGGGTGGCCTTGCCCTAGAGACTGCATCAGCCCAACTTCCTGTTTCAGTTGCCTATGTGCCTGAGTTTTGTTTATTTACCTTTCTCTAATTATCTATGTGTGATGATACACATTTTTTCACCGAAAAGAAATAAGATTTATTCATGACCCTTCCCAGAAGCAGTGAGCACCACAGGGGACCAAAGGAAACAATGGAAAGTCAAGATGAGAATTGTCCTTGTCAAAGACCTCCCACTGGGATCCCTCCTCCCCAGTGCTCCTTCTGCCTGCCTTTTCCCTGGATACCCAGGGTCCCTTGGCCTCTGCCCAGCAGCTAAACACGGTAATTCCTCCAGAGTACTGGCTTTTCTCTGTGTTCCATTTGGAGCTCCCCAGACGGCAGGATGAGTCTGATGCCTAGTGAGTTAACTGGCTTTGTTTCTTCAGGTCTCAGGGAATACCTAAATACCAATTCAATAAAATCAAGTTCATCCTGAAAGAAAAGAAGCTTTCCACGGAAAGCCTGTATGAGCCTGGCTCCCAGGGAGATTCTTTTTTTTTTTTTTTAATTTTTTTTTTCCAGGGAGATTCTTTTCAAGGTGTTTTCTCATTGCGTTCTCAATCCTCTGATTTTGCTGGCATCATGATGTCTGCATGTTGTAGATGACGTATGACAGAAATCGTAGAGCTAGGAAGCCAGAGAATCCAAATTTAAAGTCTAGACATCAGTGCTTCTAGCATTGCTCAACATTTATCCAGACTAATGGTATACCTGATCTCTCAAATTCACTGCAGTGTCTCTCAGTTTCTCCGAGAGATTCATGGTGGCCTTTATCCGTTAAGTATTTCTCATGACATTGTAAAGTTATCTTTAAACAGAAGAGGATCTGTGAGTTCACTGTGTAGACACTCTCTCACAA